TAACATTCCAGTGGTGCAAATCATCCCACCCAGCTTTCAGTAATAGCAACTAGAGTGAACTGAAGCACATGAATGAGCAATTCAAATTCCTCTGGTTTGCTACCCAGGCTCCAAGCATCAGTGTATAGGCAAGTCAATATTCTGACTCAGTTTGCTCTCACTGTCTTTGTTTATGGTGTTACAGTTCTCGGGGTGCCCAGGACTGTGAGTCACCTAGTTACCTCCTTGCCTCTAGTGAGACTTGCTTGTGTTTAACTGGGCGTCAGTTCCCTGACAACATCAGCATGTGTGCCACCCAAACACTTTCCTCTGGGCAATGCCAGCCCTTACTATGCCTTGCGGGTTAACAATCAACGTACCCCTTTAAACATTCCCCAGTAGTGTCCAGCCTCTACTCCACTGAATATTCAGAGAAATACCGGGCCAGCTGTTCCCCAGGGACTAGTGAGCATCCCAGCTTGTATGAGTCACTCAGGATCAGCTCCTTGTATAACATCGCAGTGCTGAGACAGATTTATAGTGAAGACAGCCCTAAGTTTATTATGAAACATTTGAGATTCAAGAGATAGTGAGTAAGGATAGTGGAAACACCCACATATCTTCTGCAGTGTTTCAACCACGGTTGTGATCCTGTTTTCATGAGTGTAAATGCCCCATCCGATTACTTCTGAGGTGCAGGATGGAGGGCTGCCTTCCCTCATATCCCCCAATGGTTATTGTCTGTTTCCTGAGTTAGGATAATCCTCCGTAGCTTATTCTCCAGTGTGCTGCCTCCCTGTTGCTTTCACATCACCGCCGTTGATGCTGTATGCAAAGGGACCTCCATGGTGCCAACTTACAATGCTTAGTTTACATGACTGACCGAAAGACAGGTGAATAAACACCTTTTGTCTGGCAGAAACCTGTTTGTTCTGTATCTGTAGATAACTCCTTACATAGTATCTGTACATACCTGTCACAACATTAATGGCCAGCGTGACCCCAGCTTTCATTTGAGACCTCAACCACATTCTGTGGTGAACCAGCGTGTACAGACAGAGATCAGGGCATTCCTGTAACCCCCTTGCCAGCAGGCATTGGGGGCTTCTCAGGGTCACATACAGGAATAGGTCTGAGCCAGACACACAGCCCCGAACAGCCCCAATGTTGTGTGTGTGAGAGTGGGCGCAGGCATATGTGCCTGTGTATATAAGCAGGTATTTGCATATATGTGTGTGCGTCTGTGTAGGTGTGTATCTACTCCACCAGGTCCCAGCCCAGGGCCCTAACAGTGGCAGATGGTTCCACCATTGGGTCAGTGGGGATCCCACCAAAACACACCAACTCGTTTTCTGGCAGCACAACCAGACTAAAGCCTGGTTTCCCTGGGCTACTTCCGTCTGGGATCAGGGCTCCTTAGTCCAAGGGTCCACCATCTCCTCAGGGTACACGGCTGGTGGCAGTCCTGGCAACTTCTCTTCGTGGACGGTCTCCTCCGGGGGCAGAGTGTTGCACAGCGCAATTTGGGCTCCAGAGTTCTGCAGCAGGCTGGAGACATCTACTTTCTTCCCAGGCTCCAACTCGACTGAGCTGCAGGGCCTGCCTTTTATACTTCTTGCCATGCCCCTCTGGTTCGGCATAGGGGGCGGGGCTGGTTTGGCTCCACCCACCAGGGGAAGTGGCGTGGTCCCTCTCTGTCAGGCTCAGATGAAGGCCACTCTGCCTCACTACAAGAGGTCTTGGTTTAAAAAAAATAGCGTTTATTTTAAAGTTGAAAGTGTATTGATTAAACATAAGAAATTAAAAGAGGTTTTTGTACTGAAATAGAATAAAAAATCATTAATAGGCTTTAATGAAATTTGTTTTGCATAATCACTTTGTTTTATTTTTGGAGGCAAAATATTAAAGGTTATTATGTTATTAACAACTTTTTGTGATGAACAGGAAAGAGTTAATTTTCCTGCCAGTCCTGATGTCTCTTGTTTCTAACACCCAGACTGACACAAGGTGGAAGAGATACAGGATAGAGAAGGTGGGGGCAGCAGGGCTTTCGGGGATGTTGTTGGAGTGCTGGGCTGTTACAAATGGACACTCTGGCTGGCGGGTCAACTACGACACCTACTGCTTGGACCCTGGTTCGTGTCCCAACTAGGGATGTTCTTGGGTTGGTTTTCCGGTTTTTTTTAAGACAGGGCAGGACTGTGGTCCTCTCATCTGGCTGTGTTGATGCAGTGCAGTTGATTTCAGGAGATGCTGAAAAGGCGAGAGAGTGAGAGAGAGGCTGGGAGGAAGGAAGGTGGGGGGCAGAAAGTAACCCAAGGGAAGGGAGGCAGAACAGGCTCTCGGCGTCTCTGCAGTGTTGGCACTTAGGGTCCCCCAGTGGGTGAGAACTGGATACCATGATCATATGATGACTCTTACAGCTCACAGGTGAAAAACCAAGTTCCTTGAAGAAGAGCAAGGCCTGTTGGCATTCTTCTCTGGAAGAAAGTCCTCTGGCCTATTGCTCCTTCTATCTGGAGTCAGGAAAGATGAAGCGGGAGAAGATGAGCTGGGATGCACTGGGAAGACGTGAAAAGATGTTTTTTTCACAGTCTCCTTGTTAAGAACCTCCAAAAAGGACCAACCACATAGTTCATCCCCTGGCTACTTTGTCCAGTACTGCTGGTTGGAAAATGGGTATTGTTTAGCAGAACATTTTGACAAAAATGAAAAAAAAAACTGTTTGTCAAAATTGCTCATAGAAAATATTTGTCTCTCATATGGTGGGACCAACATAGCTACACACAACCCTGCAAACAACATGGGAAATGTTGGCTTTTCAGCAAAAAAATGAATGCCCACATTTTTTATTTGCAAATACCACTGCAGTGGCTCATGGGAGTTGTAGTTCCTGCATTCTCCTCTATGGGCTAGGCTCCCCAGCCAGACTACATCTCCCATATGGCACAGTGATCTCTGCTCATGGTTTGTCACTGGGGTGCATCATGGGAGTGCGGTAGCCATGGTGCATAGTGCCATGTTCTTGTACTTCTCACTGCTCAGGTGTGCACTGTGGCTCATGCTCAGCATTTCTGACCTTGTGCTGTGTGGTATTACGACACACTTTCCATTGTACAGAATCCCAGCACACAAAACAGTCTCCTAGCGTGCTATGCCTAGAGGTGCCTGCCTGTGACTTGCACCATCCATCCAGAATGACTCCCTAAGAGAGGGTCATTTTGGGGTTCATGGTTGAGCTGGTTCCATTCTGTTTCAGAGATGGGCAGCACTTGGGTCAGATCAAATCAGACAGGACTAAGGAATCTGAATTAAAAACATTTATAACTGGACACTCACAGTGCACGTTTTGGGAGATGTTAGTGTGGGGGGGGTGACAGGTCAGAGGTGGGGAGATGCAGGTGGAGAGAAAGTACTAAGGTGGAGAGAAAATGGTCTAGTGCATGATGGGCAAAGGAGAGATTCATAGACGCTAAGGCCAGAAGGATCCATTCTGATCACTCAGGGTACGCCTACACTGCAATTACACACCTGTGGCTGGCCCGTGATAGCTGACTCGGGCTTGCGGGGTTCAGGCTAAGGGGCTGTGTAATGGCTGAGCTAAAGCAGGCATTTTAGTGAGCCACCCCATCTAAGCGCGGTCAGATATATTGCTAGCTAGATGACGCTAAGGTTAGCAACATCCATTCAGTGAGCTCTGCTGAGGGCTGGAAGCCCTCAAAGCCCTGCTCTCTGCTTTGCTTCCAGCTCTGCGAGCAGTGAGCAGGGTTACTGCTTTGGCTCAAGAGGTAGCAGTGTGTGCTGGGGTGATGAAGAGCTGGGTGTGAACCCCTTGGATGGCACAAGGAGGGGCAGCAAGAGGGGGATGGGGCCATCGACCATGATGGAATTTCTTGGGGGTTTCAGTTTAGTTTTATTTTACAAATCTAGGAAATTCCCCCCAAAGAACTATGTTAAAAACAGTCCGGCCCCAACCACTGCTTGGGAGGTCTGGCTGTGCTGCAGCCCCCAGTTCAGCCCTTGATTGAGAGCCCCAGGGGGCTTCATTTGCCCCATTTCTGGCATAGGTTCAATTTTCTTCTGAACCCCGGGAATAAAGGGGTGACACACAGAGTGCTGGGAAGAGACAGAGCTGTATGCCCTGGCCCCAGTCACACAGCAGGGTCAATCGCTCCATCCCAGGACCAATGAGGCCCATCTCCATGGGCCCCAGGTGCACAGTCAGCTCCCCAGGGAGCTGCACTGCAGCGGGACCCCCATCAGCAAGGCAGTGGATTGTGCACTCAGCTACCAGCAGCCAGTGAGCGGGGCTGCTCCCGTGCTGAGGCCCTTTGCGAGGTCGGGGGAAGAGAAGGGGACCATGGAGCAGCATAATCACAAAGGGCCAGAGGGCACAGTGAAGGCCCTGGGTTGGAGCTGCTGGGCAGTGAGGGCTCATATTGCCACCCTCTAGAAGCATGATGCCACCCACAGCCTCCCTGGACGCAGGCTGAGCGGGCGCATGGCATTGCCATTCAGGAGGTGTAGGACGAGCCCTGCCCTGCAGTGCCATGGCCCAGCTCCTGCCCAGCCCTGTCCAGGAGAGGGCAGGCTGCACTCGTCTGTGCCAGGGGTGCACAGGGACGAGGGTGGCGCTTTGTACCCGGCGCTCCTGGTGGGAGCTGCCCGGTCGTCAGTCAGAGCTACCAGAACCCTGCAGGGAAGGGCAAGAGGCAGCGTCCAGCCCTGGGGACAGCCTTGGGGTCACTGTGAAGACCAAGCCCCCAGCACCTGCCCCTGAATGATGCAGGAGACCAGTCACATCTGGGAGCGACAGCTGTTTGGGGCTCTCAAGGGCCTTATGCTTCAGGTCCTCAGCTGGCAGGGAGCCAGCAGGGGCTGTAAGCAGCTGTGCTCTTAAAGCGCCAGGCTGCTCCTTGAAGCTTTCGAATTCTTCCCACAGCCCTGGAATACATCACCTAGGTAACCAGTCTTAACCAGCCCGCCTGCCTTCACCCCAGCAGAGCATTTACAGGCAGAATCCTTGCAGGGAGAACAGCAGCGTTTTCCACCACGTAAGTGATTTCTGAATCCTTCCTAGCAGGCCGGTGGGGCTGGTGGGAGAGGTCCCTGCGGAGCCGGGGCGCTGTGTCGGTTGCATGTTAATTACATAGATGGGGACTGGCATGGTACCCAGGCGGCTTTCTCTGTCCTTTGCCTTTGCGTCTAGCCGGAGGAGACAGGAGTGGTGTATGGCTGGGTTTCAGGGCTGGGAGGGAGGGAGTGTAGATCCAGGCAGCAGCATAGGCTTAGGGCTGGGAAATGATGTTGACACATTCAAGGGTTCGGTAGGTGAAGTTTGGAGGAACTGCGGCACCATTGCCTCGCAAGGATTGAAGGGAATTGCCTCTCTCAAAAGCAAACTGCTTTTGCAACAACACACAGGGGCACAAGATGATTCGGAAATAGCCCACAGCAGAATATTTGCTTTCTCTTTCTATTGTATTGGCTGGTGTTTTCACAGTGCTACTCCATGGGATTATAAACATGGCTCTGTCAAACTTCTCTGTGCATGGGTGTCCTGCACACTCTGCTCTCAGCCTCCGCCCTTGCAGAGCTCAGAGACACAAAGAGCTGGGGATGTTGGAAATTGATCAGATGAACCTGGATTTTCCTTCTCAGTGGCAGTCCACACTGAGACGCAGGCTGGCTGGTATTTCTGCTATCCATGGCAGACTGCATCTCTGAGCAGCAGCCACTTTGCTACAGGCAATGAAATTGGTGCTATTTGCCCCTTCTTAGCCAAAGGTTCAACCCCTCCCCCGTTTAATGGTTCTGGGATGCAGGACTGCAGCATAGGCTGGTGTGTGAGGCTCACTCAGGCTCTGTACACCTAGCTGATGAAATGCAGAATGCCGACAGACATCTACACATGGGCTTTGTGTGTTTGCGCAGGAAAAGGCATTCACTTCGCTCGACTTCTACCTCTTCCCCACTGCAATAACAGCCACTGGTGCTCTGTCCCCCCACCAGAACGGCTAAGGCTGGAGAGCATTTTCATCGCTTAATGTCGTAATCGGCGAACCATGATTCCTATTTTTAGGCGCTCTGCTTCCCTGCCCCTCCTTTCGCTAGAGTGGTGGGTCTCAGAAATAACCCGAGCCTCGTTTGCGTCATGGGCGTGGGGCTGGGCCTTACTCACACAGCTGATGTAGGAGGTTTGGCCGAAGCAGTAGATCTAGCTTGTTTCCACCCAGTCACTCACAAAGGAGTCAGTATGAGAGGTGTCGAGCCCAGGCTGTCAGCCCAAAGCAAGGTTGCCAGGAACTCTGTCTCTGTTCTGTTCCTTCACAGCCATTGTGTTAGGTTTGGACAAGTGCTTTGGTAGCATCAACTGGGAAAAAACAAGCAAGCATTGTGCAGCCAGCATTATCGCAGGTGCATGGAACTCTAGCATTATAACCACCACTCTCGGGGTCCCCCAGCAGTCGTGTTCTGTGCCCATTCTCACTGGCTTAGCAATGGAAGTGGGCCAGTAAGTGTTTCCCAAGTGCTTTAGAGAGCACCGCCTGTATGTCTTCCAGAGGACAGATGTCACATACAGGTGGATACAAACCTTTAATGTATTCATGAGATTTTGGAAAATCCTTTGGCCTGGCCAGAGGCTCCATGATCCAGGGTGTGTTGGATAACGGTGTGTCACTGCTCACCTCTGAGCAGCCCGCGCTGGCTGGCCAATCAGATACCTGGACACGCCAGGCCCTCTGTCGCCTGGGAGCCACCACAGCCAGCATTATTCACAAGCATGTTCTATGCACAGTGACTGATGTCTGTCGTGATGGAAAGGATGCCCCGAGGCCAGGCCTTTCCTGCTGGGACAGTTAGGGAGCAGACTTGCCTGATGCCAAAGCAATTGATCACCCTGGGCTCCTTTCTAAGGAAAGTTACTATTGGACCAATTTCATCCCAGGTGTAACTCCTTTGAAACCCACCTGTGGCTTTCCCCAGGGAGGAGGGTTTGTGGACTATGCTCTGTAGAATTGCCAAGGATATCAGCCAGGGCAGCTTTGAATTGGCTGGAAAACGTGGCAGTGCCCTAGAGAATGCCAGTTTCCCAGGGCATGTCCTCCTCTGCTCTCCCTTCCGGGGGGTTCCCAGCCCGTTGCAATCTGCTCCCTGCACTGCTGCATTACTAATGTTGCTAGCGAGCCCTAACTGGCAAAAACCAGCAGTGGTGTGGCATTTATCTGTAACTGTGCCCCTGCCTGACCACTGTCACTTTTGCTCACCACTCGTGTCCCCTTGTCTGGACGAGGGCTCTGCTGCCCTGACCTGTGGACTTTGCTGCTGCTGATTGCCTGCACCCAGAGAAGCCGGCTGTGCCAGCCGAGAGGGCCTGGGCGACAGATATGAAGGGAAGCAAGACAGTCTATATGAGACCACACAGCTTACACGCTACAGCCAGGGCTCCCAATCCTGCTTCTGTCGCTCGCTCTGACTTTGGCCAAATCACTGATCCCCCCAGTTCCTCAGATATAAATGAATATGCAGGGCAGGATTTCCAATTAGGCACAGTAGGCCCATGCCTCGGGGTGCCGGCATTCTAGGGGTGCCTAAAAGTTAAAAGTGGGTTAAAAGTTAAAAAGTGACTACATACAGCTCCCTTGTGGGCAGGTGGCCTCCTGGCACGGGCCAACTTTCTAATCGCACAAAACCAAACACCCCTGCCCCGCCCCCTCCTTCCCTGAGGCCCTGCCCCGCCCCTTCTCCAAGGCCCCGCCCCTGCTCGCTCCATCCCCCCTCCCTCCGTCACTCGCTTTCCCCCATCCTCACTCACTTTCACCGGGACGGGGCAGGGAGTTGGGGGGCAGGAGGGGTGAGGACACCAGCTGGGAGTGCAGCTCTGGGGTGAGACCAGGGACGCGGGGTTTGGGGTGCAGGAGGGGGCTCTGGGCTGGGGGAGGGGGTTGGGGTGTGTGTGGGGGGTGAGGGCTCTGGCTGGGGGTGTGGGCTCTGGGGTGGGGCTGGGGATGAGGGGTTTGGAGTACAGGAGGGGGCTCAGGGCTGGGGCAGAGTGTTGGGCTGTTGGGGGGAATGAGGGCTCTGGGAGGGAGTTTAGGTGTGGGAGGGGACTCCGGGTTGGGTCAGGGGGTTGGAGTGCAGGCCAGGGTGCTAGGTGCAGGGTCCCAGCAGCGCTTACTGCGGCTCCTAGGAAGCAGCAGCCAGGTCCTTGCAGCTCCTAGATAGAGGCGTGGCCAGGCGGCTCTGTGTGGTGCTCGCTGCCCTTGCCCCCACAGGCACCACCCCCGCAGCTCTCATTGGTTGCAGTTCCTGGCCAATGGGAGATGTGGAGCCGGCACTAGGGGTGGAGGCAGTGTTCAAAGCCTCCCTAGCTGCCCAGGCACATAGTGGCCGCAGGGATCTGGAGGCCACCACCGGGAGCAGTGCAGAGCCAGGGCAGATAGGGAGCCTGCCTTAGCCCTGGTCCCTGCTGTGCTGCTGACCGGACTTTTAACAGCCAACCGGAGCCTCCAGGGTCCCTTTTCAACCGGGCATTCCTGTCGAAAACCGGACACCTGGAAACTCTATGTCCATCCAGCGTTTGGGACTGGAACAGGGTAAGTGTCTGAGCCAGCCCACCTCAGGGCGCTGTGAGCCACGGCCAGGCGGGGCGGCTGCTGAAGGTGCAGGGAGCATTACAGCACCTTCCCAATCTCGACCGCCCCACTGCCTCTGCCCTGTGCTGGGGAGGGGTGAGGTGTGGCCGGAACACCATTCACTTGCATGTGCAGAGTTGGGGCGCGGCTGCCGCGCTGGGCTGCAGGAGGGACAGAAGACACCTGAGGACCATT